CCGGGCACAGGAAGCGCTGGGAGGCCCGAGCCGTCCCAGGGTGCTCCGCGCGGCGTGGACTCGGGCCGCTGCCGCCATCCCGCTGGCGAGAGGGAGAGAGAGGCCCGCCCGCTCGCCGGTCGGGCCAGTGTGGGCCAGTGCGTGAGGGCGCGGGGGGCCGTGTCAGCGAGACGCAGAGCGCAGCCGCCACCAGCAAACGGACATGTTGGAGCCCAGCGCCGCCGCCGCCTCCTTTTCCTCATCCTCCGAACAGGACTGAGAGGGGGCCCGCCACCCTCCGCCTCTGCCGCCCGCCCCGCCGCCTCGGCCTCAGCCTCTTCCTGCCCGGCCTCTGGCTCCACCGCTCGTCGCTTCCCCCCCCGCCCCTCAGGCCCGGCCGGTTCCCCGGCCCCGCTCCGCCGCGGCGCGAGGTCTATGTGACCGGCGGGCCCGGAGCAGCCGCCGCCGCAGCGCGAACATGGACGCCGTCAACGCCTTCAACCAGGAGGTGAGGAGTGCTCGGGGCTAGGGGGTGCCGGGCCTGCCGCGGGAGCCGGGGCTCCGTTTCTCCCGCCGCCGGAGGTTTAAAGCTTTGGTCGGGGTGGGGACGCTTCCTGCCCGGGTTCCGGGGCGGCGGGGCCTGCGCGGAGCGGCCTGTGGTCCGGGAGAGGTCGCGGCGGCCACGGGAACCGACCCCACACCCCTCCCCCATCGCCCACCCCCGGGCGGCGACCTCGGGCTGCCCCCCTCGCCCCCTTCCGGCCTCCCCCAGCCCGCGTCTGCGCCGGTGCCTCTAACTTCGCCCTCTTTCAGGTCCGGGCGCTCTCGCTCTCTGCTCCCAGCCCCGTTACTGGCTTCGCAGTGCCGGGAGCCCGCAAGGGGCTAAGAAAGAAGCGCGGGCGGGCGTGTGGGGTTGGGGGCGGGGGAGCGGGAGCATCTGCCGGTCGCTGGGCTGGCGGAGCGGCGGCCTCGGCTCTCCTGTTGCTCAGGCCGCGGCGCGGCAGCGGCTGGACTCTGATCCCGGGTCGGGGAGGAGTTGGAGAGGGTGTTCATCCCCTTCTCCCGGGATTCACATACTTGGGAAATGGGGTTCCCAAATGAAGAGGGGTGGCTCCTTATCATTTCCAGTCATGAACACAATCCTCTTAATGGGCTCGGTGGCCCCAACGTGACACCTAAAAAGTTGAATGGGAGAGGAGTACTTGCTCCGCCTCAGTCCGGTAGAAAGCCGGCTTTGGCCTCCAGTCCCCCACCCTCGCACTCCTCCCGCGGTAGTTAATCCGCGGCTCCCTTCTAGGGGAACATTTACATGTGAAAACCTCCCAAAACCGGGAACAAAGCTGCCTGCCGCCTTAAAGCTCTATAGTTTTATCTCAAGTCTGATTCCAGGTGCTGTTTTTGGAGCGTAGAGTCCACACGTCCTCTTCATCAGAATCGATTTGGGGAGAGGGGACTTGACCATTGGTGATTTAAAATACAGTTACAGAATGGAAACTTGTCATATGTTGAGTTGGATTATTTTCCTTTTCCAAAACACTGAAGATAAACCCAACATTGAAAAAGTGAGATGTAGTGCTGTAGCTCTAGATGTCTTGATACGGCGTTAAAAACTTGCATCTCACAGTAAGGTTTTGTAATTTCACTTGTAACAGAATTAACGTGCGATAACTTTCCTTTAGATTTGCAGTCCCGTAATATGGGATCTTCCAGTAACACGGCAGTTAGGATCTTTTATTGCCTTACAGATTATCCTAGAAATGATTTGTCTTTAACCGATGGGTGCATAAAATGTCTTAACTGGAGTAGCAACGGTGTTGGACAGTGTGATGATTTTCAAAATAACGAAATAACATTTCCTAATATTTGATGGCTAGAGAATTTCTGATATTGCTCCAAAGATTTCACGTCTGGAAGTTGACTTGGTTTCTTGAAGGCGAAGTTTACTTGGAATGTTGGCTCCATGAGGGCAGGGAGTTTCTGTTCTTTCCTCCTCCTCTCACCATAGGAGGCCAATACGTGTTGAATGCATGAGAATTTTACAAATGGTACAACAGTTTTTAAAAATTTTAAGTACATTTCTTTCCCAAGGTAAAACCTTATTGACTCTTTTTAATGTCAACTTTTAATGAAGAAGGGGATTTTTAGAGTATTCTTAAGATCAGAAGTATTTAATTCTGAGTTAAGCAGTGTGGAAGTTGACAGTAAGCACATTAAGCAAAATATCTTATGTTCTGGAAAAGTGTGATCAGGAGTTTTTACTTTGAAAAACAAAAATAAGGTAGGATACTGATTTCTCAAAAACGGGAAATGGTATTTTAACCTTTTTAAAATGTACAAAATGAGAGTTTTCCTGTCATTATTCACCTTTCTGCTCAAATTTTTATTTCCATTCCTACTCTTTATGAACTGCAAATTACATTATGTTAGGTGTGTGTTGCCAGTTCTGATTTCTGAAGAAACTTTCTTCTGGAGAAATTAGTCTGACTTTAAAATTCATCTTCTTGTGTTGTTTGATTTGTAGTCCTTCTCGGTTATAACTCCCCATTCATGAAATGTTATTGATTAGTTTCTTGTAACCTCAAATCTCCCAAGTCTTACTTTAATTTTATAAACTTTTAAATGTGTGCTCAGCTACAAAGCTGTGTCCTGAATACTGTGGTACTACCAAGGATCTCTGTCCCCTAGGAGCCTGATCTAATAGAGGACACAAGACTTAGGCAAATAACTTCAACATGTGAGAGAACAACTTCCTTTGGGGCTCTTAAAAAATACCCTGGGATGGCTATGGGGGATCAGTGAAGACTTGGGAAGAGAAGGTGGAGTCAGTTTTAGGATTTCAGAAGGTGTAGAAAGCAGTGATTGAAGGGCAACAGTGCTGAGGAGTGAACAGTAGTTTGATTCCAAAGGCTACTGGAAAGTAAAGATGGTTAAGTAATTTGGGGCCTGACAAGTTTCATGTCTGTCTAATGTGTTTAAATTCCACTTTTAGGCTCTGGATAAACTGAAGGCTTTAAGTAGTGGGGTGATATAATCAAGAAAACTGCTTGATTTATATATATTGTAGAAGGCAGAGATTTGAGGAAGATTGGCATTTTGAGGACTGAGGTAGAATTGAGTAAAATCTGAACTTGGCCTGTCTATAGTGGTAGGGAGAGGAGGGATCCGTGGACCTGCCATCTGAAAGGCCAATAAGCTCCTTTTGCCCCCACATTCTAGGTGCTGGGAAAGTGGTGATGCTGCTCGCACAAGTCAGGCAGTTAGCATAAGCATAGTTAGTGGAAGAGGAAATATGTTTGGTTTTTTAACAGGTTGAGATTGAGTGGAAAAGTCACGTGGAAATTTTTGGCAAGCAGTTGGGCATGTAGGACTCAAACTTGGAAGCAACCAAGAAATAGAGGAAGACATATGGGAGTCACTCTCAGATGTGCCCTGGAGAAAATTGAGGGGGGGAGAAAAGGAATTAATATTTAATAAGCATCTATGGCGTATCAGGCATTTTATAAATACATGTCTGATATTCCCACAACCTTGCACAGACATCCATTTATAGATGAGGAAACTGATTTTCAAAGAAGTTAAATAACTTGCCCAGGGGCATACTGTTAGCTAATGGTAGCGCTGGGATTTGAATGCACATCTCCCCATCTTAATTGCTGCCTAAAGATAATATTTTGTATAATACAGTTACAGGTTAAGACTTAAGAAAACTACTAAAATTTGAGAGTAATGGGATCTGAAGTTTAAGGCTGAGTGGTGATGAAGGAGATAAGGAAATAAAGGTCACAAATGTAGTCTTTTTTAGAAGTTTGGTTGTGAGGGATTTAAGGACAAAGTTGCCTCAAGAATGAAGGGAAAGAAGAGCAGTTAACAGGGTAGGAGGCACTAGTGGTAGGCCATTTGTATGTTTGTATAGCATGTATGTGATCTTAGCCTTAATAAGTGATGTTGAAGCCCTGGTCTCAGGAGTAGAAGTTTGAGCGTGTTGGGGGAGGGGAAGTGTAGAGAAGCACAGTTTAAAAATAAAAGGGCTTGCTTGGAACACAATTGTGGCTAAAAGGAAGGGTACAGATCAGCACAGGTAAAAGAGGTCAGTATCTCTGATACAGGAAGGAAGATAAAAAGAATGAAGTTATTAAAGACACCCTTTAAACAGGAGTTTTATGGTGAGACGCTTTGTTAAGTGTTGTAAAAAGATGAGTGAAAAAAATGAGTGACTAATTATAGCCAATACTTGTTTTCTGCTATGTTTATGTATTCCTTAATGTGAAGAGTTTGGTATTTTGTAAGTTTGTTGAATGAATGAAAGTTATAGATTGGTTAATCCATTGATTTCATTTTTAGCCTTTAACCAATCTTTTCTAATCCCAACAGGTTGTATCTTCCCACACTTTTTGGAGGGGAGCAGCATTTATGATTTTAAGACTTTTAATTAGGGGCAGCTGGGTGGCTCAGTCGGTTAAGCGTCAGACTCGATTTTGGCTCAGTCCTGAGATCAAGCAGGTTGGGCTCAGAGCTCAACATGGAGTCTGCTTGAAATTCTCCCTTTCCCTCTGCCCCTCCCCGCATGAGCGCAGGACACCTGTACTTACTTGCTCTCTCTAAAATAAAATCTTTTTTTAAAAAAAGACAAAGTATAAGAAAGTGCAGAGAAGATATAACAAGAATGGACAGTTGTTACTATTATAAGTGTTTTTAATTTAAGCTTAAAGTATTACAAGTTAAAGTCCTTTCCTCCCACAGAGGCAATCAAAATGCATTTAGTATCAATCTCTGTGGTACATAAGCAGTATATAATCTGTATTTTGATATGCATAAGTGGTATATATACTCGTGGGTTTTTTTTTCTCAAACGTTGTTAATGTTAAGATTTCATTCTAATGCTGGGTAGTATGCCATCATTTGAATAAACCATATTTTACTTATCTGGTTCCCCAGTTGATGAACATTTAAGTTGCTTCTCAGTTATTGCTGACAAACACTGCATGAACTTTCTCAAACATATCTCCATTGTATAAGAGTCTCTCTGGGGCAGCTGTTCTCAAACTTTGGATTTTGACTCCTTTAACTCTTTTTTTTTTTTTTTTAAAGATTTTATTTATTTATTTGACAGAGAGAGACACAGCGAGAGAGGGAACACAAGCAGGGGGAGTGGGAGAGGGAGAAGCAGGCTCTCCGCTGAGCAGGGAGCGCGCAGGGCTCGATCCCAGGACCCTGGGATCATGACCTGAGCCGAAGGCAGACGCTTAACGACTGAGCCACCCAGGCGCCCCTTGACTCCTTTAACTCTTAAAGGTTAAGGACTACAGAGAGCTTTTGTATCTGTGGATGATACCATATATATATAATATGTCTTTGGGATATTTATCATCTTAGAAATTTAATCTGAGAAATACATTTACTGAAAATAACAAATCCATTATATTTTAACATAAATAACATTTTAAATGAAAAATGTTTCCCCCCCAAAAGTGAGAAGAGTGACATTGTTTTACATTTTTGCAAATCTCA